GTAGCCCACTCCTTCCAGCCTCTCTCTCCCTTCTTTCCCCCATCCCCCTCTCCTAGTCCTCAGAAAGGGGGAGCTCTCCTAGGGTCAGATGGTAAGGGAAGGATGAAGACTTTGAGTTTGTAAAGGGAAAAGGATCCATGTGTTGGTTGGCTGAATCAGAGGACCAGAGGACGGAGGAAAATGAAGCTGTCACTGATGCAGGGAGGCTGTGGCTGTGGTCTCTGCACACCTTCTTGGCCCTGTGGATGGTGTGAGGCCTGGCCTCTCAACACTTACTGGTTCCTGTCCAGCTGCCTCAGATGTGTGTTCTGGGCTGTGGGCCTTGAGGACCAAGTTCCTTTGCTAGCTTCTGTGCTAGGTTTTCCCTGCACAGTGTGGGCACAGGGTCATCCTAGGCCAGCGAAGCCCCCAGTGAGCTGCTTTCCAGCAAGGATAATTTTGAAGTTGAGGAGTGCCGGAGAGAAGGTGGGCTGATGGGACCTGGCATTGGTGTCCCGCACCCTGCCAGGGGGGCAAACCTGATCCTGAGTATGCATCTAGGGCCCCGGGCTAGTGGTTCCTCAGCTGGCTAGAGTTAGGGTTAGGTGACGTGAAAAAATACCAGTGCAGGCCTGGAGAGACTGAGGGTGGGGCGGCCACAGGTCTTTTGTGTGAGGTATAGGAGGGCTGAGGTGGCTGAGGTGGCTCAGCCGTCCACACTGGTGTAGGAAGGAATGTCACAGGATAGGACGGGGAGGAAGGACCCAGACTTACAGGTGCTTTAGTCAGGATTTGTGTGTCTGTATGTCTGTTGCAGGTGTGAAATAGGTAGACACATAGAAATAGGACACATAAGACCCTCTCTATTTGTCTCCTAGTACCCTTGGCTCTCTCTGTCCTCTCTGTTCCTCCCCACACTGGATGCCTTTCTTTCGGGATCTCCTGCCAGCATTGGCCTGGCAGCCCCAGGGACTTGGCAGTAACTTTAGAAACCGCCTTGCCCGTCTGACCACCCAGATAGGGCAAAGCTCCAGGCCTGGGCCACACAGCAGCATGGTGGCAGAGTCTTGTCCTGGGGCACAGGTGGCTGAGAGCTTCCGGGAAGGAAGGGGAACAGCATGGGGAGGGGGGCAGGCTGTGTGGAATCTAGAAATGTCACAGTTGACACGAGAGAAGCTGCAACAATCCCTTCTAACGACTTAGTCTCCTGTTAGAGGTGACCAGCTTGACAATACCCATGCAGAGGGCTTCACCAGGGAGAACTCACTCCCATCACCTCACCCGGAGGAGAAATCAAAGAAGCACAAGAGGTCTGGGCTTTCTGTCCAGGGCACTGACCTGTGGGTGACCTTGGACTAGTGACTGCTCTGAAGCCTGAGTGGAGCTCGGATAAACAAAGAGATTGGTTCTCTCCAGGGCACTGTGGTTGAGAAGAGCGCTCCTCTCAGTCACTGCTTCCAGCTCTTGGTAATGTTTCTTACATATTTCTGTGGCCCGAAGACCGGGAGAGTTATGTTTTTTGTTTTGAGACAGAGTCGCTGTGTAACCCAGGCTGGCCTCACACTTAACATGTCACCAAATATAGCCCCTCGCCATAGTTCTAACAGGTTTTATACCCTATTTTAGAGAGGTCTAACCTCCCTGCTTATCCAAACATAGAGATGCTGTGGTGCCTGTGGTGATGCCTCCCGGCTATGGTTTTAGTTCACAATCCATATTTGAAGACATACACTTTAGCAACTCTACTGTGTTTTCCTCAATGAATTGAAGTTTCTCTCTCTTTGTGTATGTCTGTACGTCAGACACTCTCCACAATATTTTCTGAGACTGAGTCTCTCACTGAACTTGAAACTTATTGATTATACTAGCCTGGCTGGCCAGTGAGCCCCAGCACCCCTCTTGTACCATCCATCTCTCTAGTATTGGGGGTGCAGGTATGTGCTGCTGTTTTGCTATTTTGCTTCAGTCCTGTAGGATCTGAACTTGAGTCCTCATGCATGTATACCAAGAACTTTACTCACCAAGCCATGTCCTCAGCCCTGATGTTGTCTGGTAGAGATAGAAACACTGTCTTTGACACACTTAAAACTAATTGCCAGCCGGAGTTTTGCAATGCTTTACAGGGAAGATGTTAAAGAAGTGCCTGGGACTTGTTAACATGTATGTTTGTGTACTAAATGCACACAGTGCCCTTGGAGGCTAGAGGAGGGCATTGGCTCCCCTGGAACTAGAGTTACATACAGGTATCTTCTGGGAACTGAATCCTGGTCCTCTGCAAGCAGGCCATTGCTCTCAACCACTAAGGAATCTTTCTAGCCCCTATATAACTGTTTAAATTATTATTTCTAAATTTTTAAATTACATTTAACTATCGTGTGTATGTGTGTGTGTGTGTGTGATCTGCATGTGGAGATCAGAGGACAACTTGTAAGAGTAAACTCTCTCTTTCCACTGTGAGTTCTGGGGATGGAAGCAGGTTTCTCAGACTTAATGACAAGCACTGTTGCTACCTGAACCACCTCATGGTGGTACTTTTAAACAGAAACTCCAAGAAGCTGTGCGGCGTGTATAAACTAAGGATGGTGAACACTGGGTATTCCTGCTACTCAGACCTGTGTCTTACAACCACACACACCAGGCTCAGCTCATAGGTCTGTAGGGATGGCAATGGTCCAGCTGCCCGATGCTGGCTTCAGTGGCTGTGGTTTCTACTCCCCTCACAGCCTCCTCGAGGGATAACTAGAGTACCGCTGGTGGCCTGGCCACCTTAAGGGTTTGCATCATTCTTTCTTGTCATTCTGCTGTTTAACAGGAGCTCTCTACCATCTCTCAGAGGGCCACTTCCCCAGGCCTGACCACAGCCTCACTCTGTAGACCAGGCTGGCCTCGAACTCACGGAGCTCCATGCCTGTCTCTGCCTCCCGAGTGTTGGGGTGCTGGGATTAGAGGTGTGCGCTGATCTTTTTGTTTTGTTTTGTTTTATTTTTAGTGGCTTGGGGTTTGTCCAGACACAAGCTCCAAGTTCAGCTATTGGTACCATTGCATAGAGTGGTGTGTGTGTGTGTGTGTGTGTGTGTGTGTGTGTGTGTGTGTTTGACTAGGGCCCAGAGATGCTGGGGGCTCGTACAACAGCTGATCCCTTTGCAGAAGCCCTTTTGCCTGGACCATTGGCCTCACTCCTATCTGTGGGCATCTTCCTGTTGAGCACTGCAGAGGAGGGGATGGCAGAGTCCGCCGCCCTTGGCCTTTATGCTCTTGACCAGCACTATTTCTGCATGTCTGAAGGAAGTTCAGCTCTCTTCTCCATGGCGGTCAGCTCTCATGGGGCCCCAGCACTTGGCAGCTGTTGTGAAACTTGGCTTCTGACTACAGCCAGTGGTGACAGCCTCCAGCAGCCGCAAGTGGCACTTTCTAGTGATATAGCTCTTCAGGTGCCAGGATCCTAATTCTCGACAATGGCTGCTGTTACAGCTGATAGGCTGGGTGTCTGGACCCCAGCCCTTCACAGTGGCTGGTGTTATAGATCTCGGGCCTGGCTCTCTGAGACTGAGCCTTTGCAAACAGGGACCTTGGTTTCTCCAGACTTGCACAGCTCGTCTCTACCACATTTGTTCTTATTGCTTCTGGAAATCTTCATCTGTGCTCTTTGGGTTTTGTTTGTTTGTTTTTGTTTTGTTTTGTTTTGTTTTGAGAAAACATAGCCCTGGTTGGTCTTGAACTCACAGATGTCTGTCTGCCTCTGCCTCCCAAGTACTGAGATCAAAGGCATGAGCCACCATGCCAGGCTTCAGACGCCCTCTTATTGCTACTCCCATTGCCACAGCTGCTGTCGCCAGCATCTTCCTTTCTTCCTGTTACCTTCTTAGCCCATTCTGCCAATAACTCAAGGCAGACAAGACCCCAGTATGGACAGGGGAGGCAGGCACGAAGGCCCAACCCTAGCTAAGGAACTGTTGACAAGTGATAGTTGCTAGGAGGAGAGTCAGGGTTTTCTGGTTTTGTTTTTGTTTTCAAGAATGTGGCCCCTGGTAAGAGGAGTTCGCACAAGTGGAAGGCTGCTGCTCCAGGAATATATTGGCAGCACAGATTTGACTTTCACGGGTTTAGAAAAAAAGAAAACAGTAGATGCACAGTTGGGTGGGTGGGGAAGCAAAGTTGGATCTGGGGATCAAAACAAATAGTATGAAAGAACTAATGAAAATGAAGGGGAAAAAAAGAAGATCAGAATTGAGCAAAGAATGCACACCAGAGAAAAGCCTTTAATGGGCCTTGATATCCCAGTACTGGGAGGCAACACAGGAAACTGCCTTCCTCTGACTCACAAAGGGACTCATTCACATAGCCTACTCACATAAATGGAATAGAACAATGGCCGTGAGAGCCTGGCTAGGGCGTCTTTAACAACCCTGGCAGGCCTTCATTCAAGTGAGGAACTCTGCCTCAGTCACAGGGTTGGGGGGCAGTGCTCCCCCTCAGGTCTTGGATAGAAATGGCTGCAGGGTCATGTGGAGTTCATTGGGGCTGTGATGGGCAGAAGTTCAGGACAGGGTGTTGAAGTGGGCGTGGCTGGACAGAGCTTTAGGAATCAGAACTGTGCTTCCACAGCAAGCAGCTGTAGTTGCCATGGGGCTTCCTCAAGGCCCTGCACAGTGTGCTCAGAACAGCCATGAGTGGCTGGCTACTTAGCGGATAATCATTCACTCAGAGCAAAGAGGGTACCAGGGAAATGGTCCAACAGCTGTCAACTAGGGAGTCAACTTCCCTCTGGCTCCCAGCACATCTTGAGTTAAACAAAAAATACACCTGAAAAAGGATGGCGATGATAAAGGCTATTAATGGTTTATCAGTAGTATTTAGTAGTGATTTGTTAATGCTTAGCTCCTGTCCTGGTGCCTTAGTGAGCAATGAGTCCTCCTAACTCCCTTTAATTCCTGTGTCCCCAGCAGAGCTACAGAGACAAGGAAGCAACAGCCACACTGGGGGCCACAGGAGGGCCCTCAGTGGTGTCCATGGCTGCCCTGGACCCCATGCTGAACACAAGCCACCCATTCTATGATGTGGCCAGACACGGCATCATGCAGGTGGCAGGTAGGTTAACTGTCTGCTTGGTCCCCAGACTGGGTGGTACAGTCTTCTGGGTCCTACAGGGTGGCGGGCTGTCATAGGCTGCATCTCTCTAGCCAGGCTACCAGAATGAAAAGCATAATAGGTTCAAGGGGACCTACCGGCGTTCTGGAGAAAGCGACGAGCGACCACAATGACATCTGTGTCTGAGTGCTGTCTGAGTGCTGTCTGAGCCGCTCAGGGCAGTTACCCACCTTCAGGACAGTGTCATTAAGTGAGGATGCTATGCTACGCCTCAGTCACAGGTGTCTGTAAAAACTCATATGACAGGCAGCTCATACTCACAGGGTGTCAGGACAGCACTCTGCTTCATAGCGTTTAGGCCGGAGGATCAGGGCCTCTCAGTATGCACTTCCCATGCGGGCAGTGAGCCTGGCCCTTTTACGGCTCCCAGCTCTGTCACCATTGGCTTTCACCCCTGAGGAGCTAGGAGCCTATCGAGGGAGCAGACTAGAAGTGCTGTCCCCAAATAGTTGAGAACCCCCATAATAGGAGTAGAGAATGTTTTGACGCCTGCTGAGTGTAGGAGGAACCCTAAGAGGGCTGGGGCCAATGGGCACTTGGCTGTTTGAAGCCCCCAGTGTCCTTTTCAAACATCTTTCGACTTAGGGAGCAGGGATGCCAGATCAAATATGGGGGACATAGATCCACAAACCACATATCAGCCAAAAAAAGGGAAGGAAATAGTCACTTTTAATAAGACAAAATGCATATCTAAGATTTTTTATTTAATTTTATTTGGCAAATATTTATTAATAAAATTTCTTAGTGTACCTTTAGACCCAGTATATGAGAGATAGAGGCAGGCAGACCTCTGTGAGTTCAAGGCCAGCCTGGTCTACATAGTGAGTTCCAGGGCAGCCAAGGCTCCATAGAGAGACCCTGTCTCAAAACAAACAAACAAACAAACAAACAAACATAAAACAATCAAAAATACAACACCATATGGGTTGTTTATTTTTTGTAAGTATTTTGCCTACATGTGTATCTGGGTACCGCATGGCATGCAAGCCTGGTACTCTCAAAGGCCAGACAGGGGTGTTGGATCCCCTGGAAATGGAGTTGTAGGTGATTGTGAGCCGATCTGTGGATGCTGGGAGCCCACGTCTTCTACAAGAGATCGAGGTCCTCTGCGTGATGGCTCTTTAACTTCTGAGCATCTCTCCAGTCACGCATGCGGGTATATACTCTTGCATGTGTGGTGTGTCTGTGCGCACATGTGTCTGCATCCATGTGTACATACTCCTACATGTATGCACTTCGAGACAGGGTCTCTCACTGAATTTGGAGCTCACTGATTGGCTAGACTGGCTGGCCAGCTTTCTCAGGGAATCCGCTTGTTTCTGCCTTCGCGGTGTTAAGATTTCAGGAGCTCACCATCACACCAAGCTGAGATTCCAAATAATAACGTTAGAGGATTGGAGTATTTCAAGTCTGGAGGCTTGAAAGTCTGGGAACCAAGAGTACGTGTGCTTTACACTGTCAGGTGTGATGTTGTGTCTTTCAGTAGGGCTAAGTTGGTTAGTGATGATGTTATTTAAGTTTCTTGCATCTTTGTCCTTTTCTGCATCTACCTAGCACAGACATTTCTAACGCTCTGAAAACTGGACAGGTCTCCCTTTGGTCCTGTCCATTGTTGCTCCTTCTGGGTTTTCTGTTTGTCTGCCTTAATTTCGCTTATTATTATTGTCAGGCTGAGTGCATGCTGCCACGGTGTGAGTACCAGATCAGAGGACAGCTTTGTGAAACCGATTCTCTTGTTAAATACATTTCAGTTGATCCACAGAGTCATGAAGAAACACTGCTTAGTCCTGCTCTTTTGGTCCAATCAGCATAATTTCATCAATATAGTGGACCAGTATGATAATTTGTAGAAAAGACAAATGACAAATGATCAAGATTGCTTCGAACTTACATATGGCACAGGGCCAGAGAGCTAATATACTCTTGTGTTAAATCTGTAAAGGTATGTTGTTGGCCTTGTCAGCTGAAAGCAAATTACTTCTGGTGGTCCTTAGGACATTTTCTAGATCAATAACTCTATACCACATACCAGGATATGTGTTAATCTGCACAAGCTAGGACACTATGCATGGAATCACTACTTGATTAGGTTAAAGTCATTCCCCATGATCCATTCATCTTCTGCACTGGCCAGACAGGAGAGTTAAAGGGGTGATTATGGGAGCCACCATCCCTTCGGCTTTCAGTTTCCTGATGGTGACACCAAGTTCTTTAATTCCAATATTGTCTTTGGTTCGCTATTTCCTTCATAAAGGCAACTTCAATGGCCTTCATTTAACCTTTCCAACTATAATTGCCCTCATTCTATAGGTCAGGGAACAAATGTGGGAATTCTGCTGACTTCTAAGAATATCTATCCCAGTTTTATATTCTGGAACTTGGGAAATTACCACGAGATGAATTTGGGGACCCACTGGACCTAGTGTGAGTTGGACTTAAGCCAAAATGCCATTGACCACTTGGCCTCCATATGCCTCTATTTTAGCTGAAAGTCTTGTTTTGGGGACGAAGTTTTAAAACTGGTTTCCTGGGAGCGGATAGAGAGGGTGTTCTGGGGTTTCTCCTGGCTACTGAGTGTAGAAACCCCTGTTTGGAGCAGCAGACAACAGCTGTCTGTGGCTGCCAGGTCTGGGCCGAGACGACCTATCCCCAGCCTGCATGAGTAGAAGGAATGTCCTCCTGGCAGCTCCTGAGCTGAGACGCTGCAGCCCTCAGGGAGTGTTGGCTAACTGCTCTTTGGATCAGGCAAAGGGAGAAGGAGGAAGAGGTCACAAACAAGAAAAGAGGTGGCACTGAAGAGCCTGGACATCACAGGTGGTGTCCCTTATAGATGGTGGCATGGGGGCTGCAGAAGAGGGAGGACACAGGGTCTCTAGTGCAGGGAAGCAGAGGATGGTGGGAGCCACAGATGGCTGTTCTTTTTGGGACCCAGGCTTTGTGTGTGGAAAGACCTTCAGACAGATGCTGTGGTCTGAGGAGTCTAGTTTGACTCAGGGTTGGGGAAATGCCCCTTGGGCTTCTGACCTTGCTGGGCCAACTTAAGCTTCTCTTGTGCCACTTAATCACAGGTGTCTTTTGGGGGCAGCCATCCTGTGACTCAGAACTTCAACTGAGGGGTCAGTGGCCCTCAGACACTGGCTACTGCTGGTTTTGGAACCCAGTGGCCCAGACAGGAGGACCCAGTTTGGAAAACTCGCCGTTTCCTGGTGTTGTGCTTAGAGACCCTGCTGGACAAGGGAGGGGGCTGTGTGGTGGGTTAAACCACAGAGCTATAAACAGGCAGAGCCCTGGCCAAAGTTCTTGAGGAGACGGAGATGAATGGATGCTGTATTTGCGAGCAGGTTGTTCCGGAATCTTAAACACCATCCAGGCTCTGGAGCTTCGCAGAGGAAGGCTGGTGTGTTATACATACCAAACAGCTTTGCAGCTGCAGAGGTGGGAATCAGGAACCCACCCGTGCCCATGTAGTCAGCACACGTGATTCTGGTTCATTCTGGCTCATTACCTTTCTGGGCATGTATTCTTCTGTCCTGCTTCACATTTGGGGGAGCAGGAGAGGAGGAACCCTGAAAATGGCTGTAAGTACTTTTTTTTTCCCTCCTAAAACAGGGTTTCTGTGTCGCCCTGGCTGTCCTAGACTTTGTAGACCAGTCTGGCCTTGAACTCACAGAGATCCTCCTGCCTCTGTCTCCCCAAGTTCTGGGATTCCATGCGTGTGCTACCACACCCAGCCATAAACGCTTCTTTACAACAAAAGTGAGCTTGAGATGGGTCTGTTTCTAGAAGGGGACCTTTGTTTTCTTCTGGGTCCTGTCCTCCAGGCAAGCAGTCAGTGATGATTGGACATGCAGAAGAGATGGGCAGGAGCCCTCAATGGGCCTGGAGGGGTCTCTTCAGATTTCTCAGGGAAGGGGGAGGGCTGTGGACATCCAGCCTGCTGGGCCCCCAGAGGTCCCAGGGCTGGAGCCAGACAGAGGGAGAAGGTGGGAGAGGCCACAACAAGAAAGTGGTGCCGAGGGGCCTGGACAATCACAGATGGTGGCATGGGCCTGCAGGGGAGGAGAAAGGGCAGGAGGCTCTCCCGTGGAAGGCAAGCAGAGGAGCGGGAGACAAGGCAAGCAGACAGCGGGAGCAACCAATGGTGGCTCTTCTGTGGGACTCGGGCTTTGCATGTGTGTGTGACTTGCAGACTGATGCAGAGGTCTGCTTGAGCAGCTAGGGGGTCTTTGCCATGGGTCTTGGTCCTGATGTAGAAGAGAAAGGATGAGGGATAGAGGAGGCATTTTGACTTCCGAACAGAGACAAGGTGTGCCCTTCATTCTGAGAATGGAGACGGAGGCAGTCTCAGGTGAGTGGCCTACTCCAGGAGAGGACGGGTTAAACCATGACACAGAGGTAACCACATGGCTCTGGCCTTCATCTCATGGATTTCTGTACATTGTAAGATGGCCACAGACACAATACACTGTATTGTTTCTCTCCTCAGTCTGTGCAAACTATACATGAATCCATTTCCCTCCACCAATTTCTGTTTCCTAGGACCCTCTGGAATACAGAGAAACTAAGATGATGGACCCCAAGTAACAGATAACAATTCCAGGGCTCCTGGAACAGAGGGCCCCAATCTGAGGAGCTTCAAACAACAGACATTCTCACGGGTCTCATGGATCTGGGGTTCAGAAGTGAGAATCCAAGGTGTGGGCGGGCTGGTTACTCCTGGGGGTCTGGGAAAGTCCACCGCAACCTTCCCAGCATCCGCCGTCCTGGCGTCCCTTTGTACCGCTTGGACCTTAACTGTTGCCGCACTTCCCACCTCTCTTGGCCCACGGCTACGTCCTCTCCTAAGCCAGTGTCTCCCGCCTCTTTGTTCTAAATCCAGGACAGCCACATTTTGAACTTTAACCTGAGTCTGTGATGACCCTATGGGCAAATAAGGTCACGTGTGGAGGCTCTAGGAAGTCATGAGATTTTATTTTTGGGCGGGAGGGGTAGGAAGCTAGGAGGATAATATTCAACTCAAAGCTGCCTCCATAGCCACTTTCCCTGTAGTCTACCCATTACGTCCATTCAGGGCAGCACCGGAAGAGCCACGTTGTCCAGATGGTTGCTTCTTGACATGTGTCACCACTGAGCCTGCGGGGTGTGTGGCGAATACTCTCAGGGGACCAGATACCCATGGCAGCCAGCAGCCCTTCACACACCATGACCCCACACTACCTGGCACCTCAGTCCTGATGTGTGCATGGGGTGGCGCGTTCACAGATGTGGGCACAGTGTGAAGCCAGGGGGACCAGCGGCTCGGTGGGTGTGGAGGTCAGGGGAATCAGGACAGGTGACATCTAGGGCTGGGGCAGGAGGATGTCTTCTATGAAGAGGAAAGCCAGATGTGGGAGTACATGCCTGTAATCCTAGTGCTCGTAGACTTGGGAGTATCGGAGGTCCCAGGGAAACTCGTCTCAGTGCTGACACCAGGAGCCACCAGCACCTGTTGTGCGCTGGGGCCAGCTTGCTTCCTTCCTAGCCAGCTGAGCTGTGTGTGCTAGGTCCCTGAAGCCGAAGACCATCCCCTGTCCTGGGTACAAGGAGGCCAGAGCTGCAGACACAGTGGCTGTTGTCAGTCCCCAGAACACATTCATCCCTCAGGCCTCACAGCAGTCCTGTGTGCCCAGAGCTGGTAACAACATAGGGTGACGTGGCCCCCTCAGTGCAAGAAAAAACCGGGGGCTCCTACACTGGATGTATTTTTCTGCCCTGCCTCGGGCAACTGGCCCCTGACTTAGAATCCTAGGAAAGTACTGAGGGACACTTTTGTGAGAAGGAGGCGGCCAGAACCTGTACTTGAAGTCAAATGTGGCTAAAGTTAAACCCACGAGCTGTCACCCGGCGGTACCTGGCACTGGTGGCCTAACCTGGTGGCTCAAGTATCAAATGGGAGTGATTGACAGCTGGAAGGTTTTCTCAGGACACATGGACATCACTTAACCTTCCCTGGGTATCACGGGGCCGAGCCCCAGCCACAGGCATCCTCGCCTTGCCCTGGCCGGACTGCAATGGCCACCATGGCTCATGACTGAGGAAATCCAGCACAGTTGCTGGAGGCTCACACCTTTGTTCCTCCAGGGGATGACCGCCAGGGGAGACGCATCTTCACCTTCAGCTGCTGCCGACTGCCGCCCTTGCACCAGCTCAACCACCAGCGTCTGCTGGAGTAAGTACCACCCTGTGCTCTGCCACCGCCACATGCATCTGCCTCACAGCACAGCCATCTTGGTCTCAACTTCCTGTGTGGACCCGGCCATGCGCTGAGCTTGTTATCTCCAGAATCCTCTCCGGAGCTATCGGTGGAGGCTCTCACCACCAGGGCTACCATGGCTTCACCAGCATGGTGAATGTAGAACGGTGGCGTTGGCTTGATTCCCTCTTAGCCAGCTGAGCTGCGGGCATTGACCTCTGAGAGTGGAGAGAGTCCCCTGTCCTGGGAGCGTGGACACTTGTCTTTCATACCTTGGACACAGGCTGTGTAGACAGCAGAAAGTGTGTTTCTGGAAACACAGCAGACCAGCAAGACACCTGAGGTGTGGGGGATCATAGCGCTGGGGCAAGGGCAGGGCTGGAAGCCATTTGGCCCTGAGTTCAAATCTCAGCCCCTTCTTGAACAGTTTGCGATGGCTACCTTAACAAATGATTATGAACTTAGTGGCATGAAACAGCAGAACTGTATTCTATGCAGAATACATGCAGGTGTCCTTCAGACACGCTCCCTTAGTGACCTTTCTGGAGAGAGCAGGCAGCTAGTCTCCTTTTCCTCCCAAGTACTGGGCAAATCCTTGAATTTCTGGGGCTGCATCATATCCACTCTGCCTCCATCTTCACGCAGCTTCGTCCCTCTATGGGTCTTCTCTATGGACCCGTGAAGGGTCCTGGGCCTGGGTTGGCTTCTCTGAGACTTCTCCTGGAAGCCATCCTGGAAGGTCCAGCATCCACCCATCTCCTAAGACCCCAGATTCATCCTCAAGCGCCTCCCTTCCAAATGTGAGGTGGTCACAGTTTCTGGGGCTTTGCTGTGGCTGCATTTAGGGAAGCACCATGTCCTCTTGCTGGCTGTATGACCTGTGGTCATGAGGGAACACCTCACCCGAACCTTGGGTGTCACCTAAGCAACAAGGACACAGATGTGAACTGAACGTGGCTGGCTCCTGGCACCTGCTGGCTGGCCGTGGGTTCTGTTTCATGGACTTCTCTTACTCACAGTGCAGAGCAAGGGATTGTCCTGAAGGAGCCCTGTGTCTTGTATCCTTCAGGTATCTGAAGTACACGCTGGACCAGCATGTGGAGAATGACTATACCATCGTCTACTTTCACTACGGCCTCAGCAGCCAGAACAAACCATCCCTCGGCTGGCTCCAGAATGCCTACAAGGAGTTTGACCGGAAGTACGTTTAAAGTACCCACAAGGGTGGGCTGAATGGCGGGGGGGGAAGGGTGGGGCTTTATGGGCTATGCAAATGGGCAGGGACTGATGCTGGCATTTCATTTTAGTGATAGAGGGGAGAAGACTACAGAATCTCAATACTTCGGTTCCATTTCTGGAGACAGAAGTGTGTAGTGTAGCTGGGGGGTTAGCATGTGGGTGAAGGGCAGTGATTTATGTTTGGTTTATAGGTTCTCACTCTATAGCTCTGCCTGGCTTGGAATTCTGTGTATACCAAACCTCTGTCTCCCAAGTGTTGGGATTAAAGGAATATGCCACCATGCCTAGCAGGCCAGTGGTTTTTGAATGGTGAGAAAGTGAAAGGCCACATCAACAGAGAGAGATTGGAGGCCACCTATGTCCTGTCTGAACAGCCGTTCACACTCACGCTTCATCAGAGAACACAGGTGTCTATGAACAGGGATGAGGCGCTTTCTGACTTCCTGATTCCTGCTCTTTTAACCCGGGCCAGCGGGTGTCAGGTGGAGGTGGGAAGAAGATATGGCCATGGTCTTTAGAATGGAGGAGCTGAACTCTAGTGCTTGCTTTCCCACCATCAGCTGGATATGGTGGGGCATGCTTGTAATTCCAGGGCTCTAGAGATGGAAGCAGGAGGACTAGAGTTATCCTAGGCTATGCGAGCTTGAGGCCAGCCTGGCCTACATTTGACCCTGGTTCAAGAATAAAAAACATATAAAACAAAGTGATAAAGATTTTCTCACTCTCTAGGAAAGGGATTGGGGGGGGCAGGGATGAGACTGTATACCTTGGCTCTGTAGAAAACAAAACAAAATAAAACAAACAAACAACAAACAAGTGGATTCTTTAGGCACCAAAACGATATAACAGTGTGATCTGTGGAGGACAATGAGCCCTCTGTCCCTAGAGGCCTGCAGCTGGGACTTCAGCTCTGATGCATGCTGGGAGAGCCTTCACACTGCCTCTGCTATGCCCTGGAGGAATCCCACCTGCTTCCCTCTGGGTTATGACCCTCTAAGCCAGGCCACACCTGCTAAGTGTCCACTCTTTACATAACCTGATTCCAGGGGCCCTTGCCCTGTTCCAGGCTTCCCATGAGAGCAGCTGCCTCTTTGATGGAGTAGCTCTGGGCTCTCCCACCTTGTGGCCAGATGCCGCTGATGGCCTGCGTGCTTGGCTTCGATCTCACTTTGGGGGACTGGGAGGTGATGGAGCATTGTCTGACATGTAGGATGAGCCCTCTCCTTTTCGCTTGCTTACATCTATGGGGACTTGGTGTGTTATTCAGCGAGGCAGGTGTAAGAAATAAGGAGGGAAGATGAAAGAACAGACTGCTTGACCTTGAAACGTCAAGAGCAGACTTTGCTGGTCTGAGAGGTTGGCGTCCTCACTCATTATGTGTGGCTTGGTATCCGAGGGCACAGAAGAATGAATGCACCACACAGGATCTGAGACTCAGTTTTTGTGGACGGTAGAGAGGGGGGAAGGCCTGGCTCTTCTAGACTCAGAAACTATTTCTATGTTTTGTTTTGCTTTTCTGATAGATAGACTGATTTTTGAAAGCGTGAGGTAGGGGATAAGTTAAGCTGCCTGTTTTTGTGACCTTCTGACCTTCCTCGCTGCAGGGTGAAAGATAAGTCAGGTTGTCTGGTTTTATGACCTCTGGGCTCCAGGGTGCACGGTGGGTTTAGCTGCTTTCTGGAATTCCAAGGCAGCAGATTTCTTGAAGCCTGTCTTATGGCCACCACTTTGGAGAGGTCACTTTTTTTTTTTTTTCCAGTATGTTCTTTACTCTCATTTACTGCTCACAAGACACAAATTTGTCTCCACCGTCAACCCGCAGCCTGGCTCAGGGACCTGTCTCACCCCTTCACTCTCTCCAGGCCTTCTTCACCTCTGACCCCAGCCCTGGAATGCGGCGTTTCTCCTGGGATCCTGCCTCCTTCCTGAGGCCTTTGTTGCTCTGGGCTGTCACATTACTGATCAGCCTCCTGAGCTGACAGTGTGAGTTCACGGGGAGCCCTGCACCCACTCCTCTGCGTGCTCACCCCAGCTCCCCACTCTGGCTTAACTTCTTCCTGATGCATCCCCTCCTCCTGGCCTGGATTACTTTCCTCCAGACATCCTCACCTACTCTGCTCTCATGTTTCGCGCCAGGGTACCTCAGCCCTCTGCTTAGATGCTCTTTTCTTTTTCCCCTTCTGAGCTTTGATTTCTGTCCTGACAGACCCTGTCACATTCACTTAAACTGGTCCCAGCCTTCTGGAGTGCCGTTGTAGTTTAATATCTCGCTCTCAGGCACTCTAGGGTCCTCCCGGCCATCTGTGGAGTAAATCATGCCCCGTTCCATGTCCTTATGCACACTACCCATAAGACATCACTATTGGTGAGTGTTGCAGGGTATTTGATCCCATTTCCAACCCCGAGACTGTAAACTGTAAGAACCTGTATCTTGTTTGGTGTCGTTCAGTTCTCACACACACCTTTAATCCAAGAACTTTCTTGTTTATTGTAAACAGGTGATTTTGGAGTGGTTTGGCCCTAAAGCACATCTTTAATCTTAGAGCTTTCTGTAGGGAGGATTTAATAAAGTCAACCCTAGGTTGGCTTTTGACTTTCTCCTCCTGAGCTGTTAGGTAGGAGCTACCAGGCCCTTTTCTCCTGAGCCATCAGCTGAACTAACAGGCTTTTGGCTTTTTCCTTTGGGACCTGAGCTGAGTAGGAAGGTCAGCTGGGAGCTTTCTCTACCTCTCTGAGCTAGCGGGTTTTCACCCCAGCATCTGGCTCCTGAGACTTCGTTGGTAAAATCAAGCTGTGTTGGAATTTTCTTTCCGACTAACAGCAGGCTGAAAGCCGAAGCTAGGTCATCCTGGTTTAGGGCTGTTCTCTGTGCCCCATCCCCTGCCTGCCTATCATCTGCACCTGCAAAAATATCCACAGCTACAGGCTCCTACACTTCACACATGTGCAGGGTAAACAGTGCAGTGGTTGACCAGGGTGGAGGGAAAACACCTTCTATGGTATGTGTGTGTGTGTGTGTGTGTGTGTGTGTGTGTGTGTGTGTGTGTGT